TTTTGACTGTTCGTACTAGGGCTGAACGATTTTGGAAAACAATCTAATTGCAATTTTTTTTCTTCAATATTGCAATTGCAATTTAATTCACGATTATTTTCTCAAGGGGCTTTTTTCATTTTTCAACTAACGGAAGCAAAAAAAATATATGTAACTTGTTCTGAATATAAACAAGTTTATGTATCTACATATTTATCTACATATCATATCAACAAGTTTATTTGTCTACATAAACACTCACAGGTAAAAACAAAATTTTGTATTTTAAGGTGCACTGCTTTGCAGCCAGGAGCACATCCATTGAAGGACCATAGGTATTGGCATCAATTGTGAAAATTGTTTTGCAGTAAAGAAGTGTGTCCCATTTATTAAAGTATTTTGGTTTTAGAGTTTTTGATGTTTTGTCCATGCAGTAGTTCAATTTCATTCATAGCTGCTAGCCAGTGGAGTTAAAGTCTCTTACAGTTTTCTAGCTTTACTAAAATATCTTTCTGTGCTTATTTGATTAATAACAGTTTTAACTTTTTATTAGACTCCAAATGTAATAATTTGGCACATTCCTAATTTGTTATTTGTAAGAATGTAATCGGCTATATTAGCATTAGCATCCCTATGGGTTTTTCAATGCATATTAGCATTGTGCTAACCACTCACTGCCAGTCAAATTGCAGCCTTTGCGATAAGAAAATCTCCTTTTGTCACATCACATTTTAATTGCATATGCAATTAATCGTTCAGCCCTAGTTCGTACACACAATCTAAATTTCATTTGTAGGAAGGAATATAGGACATTTTCTGCGAACGTTTGATAAAGGAGGGCCCAGGATTGTCGGCCCTTGTCTTACGATGATGAGGATCCATCATCTTTGGTTCTCAGCTCCCAGCCTTAACATCCACAGAAATCCTGTGAAGGCGATGAGGGAAAAGATCTGATCATCTTTAAAATGTCCTGGCACATAAAACTGAGATTAAGAGAGAGAGAGGCTCTATGCCATGAATGTAAAGCCTTCCCCTCTCTCGCTGCACACGTGACACCGTGCAGCACAAGCTGTAAAAGAGAAAAAAGTCACTTATTTGGGTTTCTGACATTCTCATCATTGGCGTCACTACAAGCATATGTATGTCAGATGTTTGTAGTCCAACTGTTCTCTGGATTCGTTTTTCCTTTTTTATTTAATCAAAAGCTCTGTTGTTGAATGACAAAGTGAAAAGGATTCCCAAAGCAAACGGCCAAAACGGCAAAATAGAAAAGCAGATGTTCTGTTTCTGTACTCAGGGAAACGGAGAAGTGATGAAAATATGATTTATTATTTAGACAGTCATTTAGAACCCATCCTCCACATTTGAACAGATTCTTCTGCAAGTTTAAACATGCTCTTATCATCTTTCATGTGCCCTTACCACTTTCCTCTTAGCCCTTTAAGCTACACCCATTTCTCATGACGGCTTCTGGTTTTCGTCTGCGATTGCTTTTCTTTTCATACCTCATGATAACCCACAACTACACCCTTTCTCTGTCGAGCCATGTTGCTCTTTCCTCTTTTCCAGTCCTCCCACTCTGCGTAACCTGCGTCATCTATTTTTTATTTATTTTTTTGTCTGGGTTAATGGAGCCAAGCTCTCTGGTGATGGACCAGATTACTCAGAGTATTTATACATGAGATGTCTGCTTTTGTGGTAATGATTGTGTGGGAGGCTGACAGCCCCTTGGTTGTACATACCTCTCTAGTGTGGAATGTACATAAATGCATGGAGACGGAGGAACTGCTGATCGTTCCTCATTGTAGATAACTTTAGGCAGATTTTACAGGGTCTTTCTGGAAAACTGTGAAATCACATAATCAGAATAACTTGCTGCCGCGTCCCAAACACCTATATAGGGTAATTAATCACGTGTGATGTTATGATGAGTAGATTTGAGACCGACAACGAAACAGCTGGTGGAACACAATTCAACTTAGCTTCCTAGGAGTTATTGTGTAACTCAAGCAGAATTTAGGTGAAGGCCATCACAACTTCTCCAAGAATGGCTGTGAATGAAGTGATGTGCTGTGGCAGCACTCAGATTAAGTTGAGGGGGAGGAAAAGTCACATTCTCCACACACTCCAGTGAACAAAGCCTCTGTTGACCACAACTCATTCCCCACTGTGCGCTGAACTTTGTGGAAAGCTCTGTCTCAACCCCAAAGTATAACATTCATGTTTACACACATGCATGTGTGGCATGTTTACTGTAGGGAAGAAGGCTCTTGCAACTCCACCACACACCAGAACTCCTTCAGGAAATCAATGTTGTAGAGAAAACGGAGTCAGTGGTAGATTTGCGTTGCTGTTAGCCAATCAAAGGCGAGATGTCCAAATATCAGGAAATAAGACTCGGTCTTGCCGTGCGCTGCCACTTTCTCCATAGGCTAACTTCTACGTCCTCAAACAGGAGTATCTGGGCTTTTCCCCACAGTAGCACTAGCAAGGCATTCATTCCTACTAGAGACCACTCCAATTGAAATAAAAATACCGTAAGTAAAGTTGATCTTAAAGGTTGGATGATATGTCGAATAAGGATAGTCTGAACCCTTTACCCATCAGTTTCTCATGAGCAATATTTTTTATTCCTATGAAACCATCTCTCACATCAGACATCAGTTCCACATCAAATCGGCGTCTTTTTGCAACACACTTTCTATATACATCCACATATTATACGTTAGAAAACTAGGATCCCTATGATTCCAATACAACTATAACAGTAGACACAGTAAATGCCTGGTCAAACTCTAAAATACATTATAATGTTCAACTCACTGTTCAATAACTCATACCATTGCCTGAATAGAGCCATCTTGAACAGACTGTTTTTACACCCACAAGGATCCGATTAATGTCCTCCTATAAAACAGTTGGTCTACAACAATCCTCATGTTGTAGACACTCCAACACATATTATCGCTGAAAACCTTCAAAATTTCAGGTTTATGAGTCTTAGTTATTAATATTCATGATATGTTAACACCTTCTCCCTGATTGGCTAACCACAACGTGACTCTTCTGCTGCCTTCATTCGCTCGTGTTTCTCGGGTAAAAAAGGCAACATTAATGTTTTACCTCCACAAATAAAACACGCCCATATGTGTTTTGCCATATTGTGGAGTTGCTATTGCTAATGATTAGCTTGTACTAGCAAATAGGCACTCTGCTCACTCAACACAACTTTCTGTGGTCACAAACTAAGGTGGGCGGGGCCATGAATGCTAATTTTCCTTGTGACCTAGAAGAGAATGGCTTTTCCTGACTCACTCGTTTGCCAGGCCGTTTTTTTTTTTTTTTTTTTTTTTTTGCAGCTAAGGCAGTTGATATAGGCTGAAGAGAATGTTCATGTTCTGTATGCATATGCAACTCAAAATGACTGATCACATTTAAAAAAGAACAAGTATTATGTAGTTTTAATAACACTTTTTGTTTGGAGTCATTTTTATGAGGTTTGGGTTAAATCTGGCAAATTTTATATGTAACTTTCTGCCCTGCTGCAGGAAAATGTGTAAAACGCATCCATGAGATTTTGCACCTGAAGTTGCACATCGGTTGGGAGTATGCTGTTAAGAAGAGCAGAAGTGAGAAGCAAATTACATATATTCACTCAGTGTTTCCTGACTTTTTGTTAAAATGAACAAGGAAACGCATACGTCTGTGGAGATATGGGGGAAATACATAAAACCACAAATTAAAAACGCCAACTTTACAGGAAAAGTTTGACGAGAATAAGATGTGGTTCCAGCAAATAATAGAAAAAAATATCTCATAATTCAGATTTTAAACACTTATTGTAAAAATATCACCAATAAATCAGCACTTTGTGTTCTTCGATTTGCTTTGGTGCCTAATTTTTCCCGGGAACGCTTCGTTTCTGAACCTGTCACAAAGCACATCCGCCTGCAGCGTTTCAGACAGAAAGAACTGGCCTGCAGAAGACATTTCAGAACATCCAACCAGGTTCAAAAGGAGCTGCTTTTACAAATGTTTGTTTATGTGGAAAAAACAGTCGGTCAGTGTTTGACTCTCACCTTTACTCTTACAGTTGTTACCAAAGCACCACATGTAACTCAACAAATTCTGTGTTTCTGAGTAACCGCATTGCAGTGAACACTCCCCACCCCCAAAAGTTTTACTCTGAGACACTCACTTCTCTGAACCTTGTATTGTTACAGGACCTATTTTCTAACGTTTCTGCCTTCAGAGTCAACAGCGGTATTAAGGGTCAAATATTGAGTTTTATTGATCTCATTAGTCTGATTCATCCGTTCACTCGTTGACGTTCTGCGGGTGACGTAACGGTACGGACTGAAACACCTCACACCTGCTTCGAGAAAAGCCCGATAAGCTCTCTGTTATAAATAGGACACAGCTGGAGGTTTTAGTGCTGTTTAGGCAGGACGCTGATGGAATATTTGTTCAGTATTTAATCAGTTGAAATAAAAGCTGAAGAGCAGCAGGCCTACTGTATTATCCTTGAACGTTGTAATGAAACGACTGTTTACAGTTGGGACGTGTGGTGAGCAGCGACAGCAGTGTTGACTGGGATAAGAGTGGTTCGCCTCATACTGCTTTACAGGAAACGTATGTTTATCAGATATCAGCCTCTCGTGAACCACGAGTCCCAGAAACCTCTCGCCCTAGGCATCCCTAAAGAAAACGAGAGTTCAAACATTCAAAAATGTGAAATGATTATTTTTTCGTCACAGCTGAGGCAAATCCATTACCGTCTTTGCTGTTAACCGTTCTCTGCTGACTGAATGCTCATACATTTGAAAGTGTCCTTTTATATTGGAACTAGACTCTTTCTGGACACTACAGATGAAGAATAACCTTGTTTTTTTTTAGTAGTTATGGATCAGAAGTAAAGATGAGAATGGTGGGGGTGAGATCTGAATTAGAAGAGTATTTTATGGTTTTTGGACTCATACTTCTTGTTGCTCATCCTCCACTCCTCTTGGTGTTCCCTGTAGTCCCTGAGGATGTCAAAGCGGAGCTTGTTTGTGCGGCTAGTGCCGTGTCGCTGCCTGCGGGGTGAGGAGGAGGCGGTGACATCGCTGGACTACTCCCACTGCAGCCTGGAGACTGTTCCTAAGGAGATCTTTAGCTTTGAGAAGACCCTGCAGGAACTTTACCTCGATGCCAACCAGATCGAGGAGCTGCCTAAAGTAAGACATGCAGATGTTTCATGTCATGCTGGTTTCCCTTTTAGTTTTCATACGTGTATCCATTAATACTGTCAGTAGAAAACGTTTCTACCCTTGGGAATGATTCCCCTTGAAGGCATTTAGTAAAACGGCTACCGTCAGACCGCTGCTGGAGCTTCTGAGCATAGTTTTTGTTTATTTACTCACACTGACCTTTGCACACTTGATCACTTATTGTAAATGATAAGTCAACCTTAATAATTATAGATGAACTTGTTTGTTTCCTCCTCTTCCAGCAACTGTTTAACTGCCAGTTACTCAACCGGCTGAGCATGCCAGATAATGACCTAACGGTGTTGCCAGCAGCGATCGCCAACCTCGTCAACCTCAGAGAGCTTGATGTCAGCAAAAACAGTAAGCAAATTAATGGATCATTTATACTGTGCACCTCTATTTCCTTTGGAATAATGGCTGATGTTGAACGTTGCAGTTTATTTTGAGCAACAGGTTAAATCAGTCTCAGAACCAGGTGAACTCGGCACCAGCTACGCTTCAGTGACCTGTGTGAAAACAGGTCTTGGCTTCCTGAAACTGTGTCTGACATTTATTGATAAGAGGAACAAATTTTCCAAGAAAAGATTTACCCAACACTTGTGTTTGGGTTACATCACGGAGGTTATTGGATAAAAATCCAAAGCAGGTTTAGCAAATCTCACGTCACAACTCTTTGTGAGTCAGAGCCGCTGATAGTAGCTGCACAAGTCCAGACGAGCAGTTTCAGAGACTTTCTCTCAACGATGCAGCAATTAAATATCAGCGGGTTCCACTCCGATTCAGAGGTTTCCACTTAAAGCTGAAGCTCCCTGCCTTTCTGATCATCTTTCTGAATAAAACATTGGTTGAACGTTGTTTATGCTTTACGTGTCATGCTTATTCTGAGTGCACAGCTCCTTGTGCTAAGAGCTGTGGACTCCGAAGCAAAACAAAAATAAAACTCGAGACCTAATCAAGTTTGTTTCCTTGTATTTGAAACTTCAGGAAGATTTAGTTAGGTCTGCGTGCCGGAACAATTGGTAGCAATGTTTCCTCACAATGGTAAGGTTGCAAGTTTGAATCCTGGCTGCAGCCTTAATGTGTGGAGTTGGCCTATTCTCCTTATGCATGCATGAGTTTCCCCTACAGACCTAAAACATGCTTGTTGGATTAACTTGAGGCTCTAAATTGTCCCTGGGTAGCATTGGGTACAGAATTCGATACTGTTTAAGGTACCGACCGAATTCCATAGTACCGACTGAGCACCGATTCACGTCATTTGAAACGATGCCTTGTTTCGGTACCCGTCCTTCATAACGAGAACTTGCCTAGACAGCTGCGCATGAGCAAGAGCGTTATGTTGTCGGTCGCTGCGAGCCAGTTGTAAACAGAGCAGCATGGTAGAAAGAACGCACGCTAACTGGGTGATGATGAAACCAGTGACAACGATCTAAGTGAGACATCCTCATCTTAATCTGCTCCGATAGGTAAATAAAATGTTTAAGATAACGTTAGCTTGATATGTTCGCTTCCGTTCCGCTAATGGTGCGTTCGGTTTCTCCTTGGAACTCGAATTTCCGACTAGAAGAACATGAACACGCTCTAAAGTTTGGCTTCACTTTACTAAATGCGACGGGTGATTGGGTGAAGATGAAACCAGCGACAACGATCTAAGTGTGATGCATCATCGTTTTAATCTGCTCCAGCAGCTAAATAAACTGCTTAAGATAACGTTAGCTTGATAAATTAGCTTCCATTGCCACCATTGTTATCAGCTAATGGTGTATTCGCTTTCTCCTCGGAAATTCTAACTTCCCAGTAGGAAAAATCAAAGAAAAAAGACGGCAAAAGGAATGAAGATACACAGTAAATTTAGTTCACAGTAAAGATGTTTGCTTCCGTTTAATTATCAGCTTATAAAACTACAAGGACGATGTTAAAATACAAACAGTTGTATGTTATTAATCGTGATATTTATCAAATATGGTTATATATTGAGAAAATATATATATTTAATTATAAAAGATAATTAAAATATGAAACACTCAAAAGTACCTAAAATTGGTACCGTTAAGTACCGATATCGATTCCTAGGTACCGGGAATTAGTACCGAATCGATTCAAATGTCAAAGGTACCCATCCCTATCTCTGGGTGTGAGTGGGTTTCCCTGTGATGGACTGGAGACCTGTCCAGGCCAGGGTGTCCCCCTGCCTTTTGCCTGATGACGTCTGGATTTGTTTTTTCTCCTTTTAGTCCCGGGGAGAGTTTCTCCCTGTGAGGTATAAAATGGTACTTTTGGTTTCTAAGTGGCTGATGGGACCTTTGCTGTTCTCCCAGGTATCCAGGAGTTTCCAGAAAACATCAAGAACTGCAAAGTCCTGACTGTTGTGGAAGCCAGCGTGAATCCCATATCCAAGTGAGTGCGCCGCTCCTTCTTACACGAGGGCTTCTGAGCACATTTTAATTAAAAGTCACACATGGAATCTTACTTTGCCAAGTTTCGAATTTTGGATCAGTTTTTAAGAGGCTTTGTGTGATCGAATGCTCATCTTCTGTGTTTTAGACTCCCAGAGGGCTTCACACAGCTCTTAAATCTGACGCAGCTCTACGTGAACGATGCCTTCCTGGAGTTCTTACCAGCCACCTTCGGCAGGTCAGTTTTTTCTCTGACGGTTGTTTACTGGATGTAGCGGAACATGCTTTGTTTGACTGGACATCAGTGATTTTCTAATTAGATTGTAGTAGTTATCCGTAAAGAACTAAAAATGAACACAAAACCTTTGTTTGCTTTCGGCGTTTCCCATCAGAGGTCGCCTCAACGAATCGCCCTGCTCCGTCTAACCCTATCCTCTACGAGGGTCTGCATCCAAGCCTGTTTTTCCCCTCAGCCCACTGGACCAAACTTTGTTTAGAGCTACAGCTGTTAAACCTTTTGAAAATGTGTATAGAACAGCAACCAGCCCCTAAGCAGCAGAGGAGTAGAGCAAATAAAGAAACTGGAGTTGTTTCTCGATTTTACTCACTAATAAAAAGATCTTGGCTTAGATACTCATGTACCTGTGAATCATCACTGCTGTAAAGTGCTGGAAAATCTTCAAAAATCGCATTGAAACTACAGATGGGCGATATAGCCTAAAATCTATATTGCGATATAATTTGAAAAATGCGCGGTAACTGTATATATTAGAGGTGTGAATCTTCACTTGTCTCCCGATTCGATTACGATTATTGGGTCAACGATTCAATTCGATTCGATATCCCGATGCATCCCGATTATTTTATATTGATTTGTTTTCATCGATAAATAGAAGGTGTCAGATAATTGCTTTTTTATTTTTTTTATCAAAAACCGTAAGTGACACAACCTGCCATCCCTCAAAAGCTCTCATTCCCAACAGGTTAGGACAAAACATTTTAAACATTTAAGATTTAACAAAGTAAAACAATCTTTTTCCTCGTTCAACACCACGCCTCAGGCTGAGAAAAACACGCTTTGCAAAAACTCACAAAATCTAAAAAAGTACTGAAAACCTTCAGGACACATAATGTAATAATAAAATACATAATGGGTTCATATATGAGTGTTTAATGTCTCTGAGCAGCTCTAGAGTCCAATATTTATGCCGCAGTTGAAGGGTGTCAGAAATAACACCAAATGAAATGTTTGACTTAATTTCATTTGAACCCAGTGGTTCATTTCTGAAATGTTGGAGAATGAATCAAGTTCTGTTTGATGCAGAAAACAATAAAACATAAAACGAATTCTAAACTTCCAATAATATTTAAGATGTGTGTTTTATTCTTTCTGATAATAACACCAGTAGAAGGCTGTGGGCTGGATTAGGATTAAATTACCCTGCTGATGGATCTCTTTCACTAACCAGCTAACTACAAACCTTTCCACCAACCTGTCCTGTGGGACCCTCACCATGTAACCCTCATGTCCATGCTGTCTCTGGAGGAGCAGATAGGAGACAAGTCTCCTGTAACCTAAAATGGACCAAAGCTTCCTCCCAGTTTCTCTTTAAGCTGAATTTAACATCAGTTTATCATCATGAAACAAAAGAATAAAATGGAACAAGAACTTCTATCTTCTATTTCTCTCTCCTTTTAATTTCTCCGTGTCCCTAAATAAGAGCCAGATGATTACGCTGCAGCCACCGTCATTGACCCCGCCCCCTCCCCAAGACCGGATCTCCCTACATTACAACAAGCAGTCTGACTGAGCGCTTCCAGGAGAAATAATAATTAAATTATGAAAAAAACGCGTGTTTGGAGCATCGGTTTGGAGGAGCGTCCTCCGATCGTCTCTCTTGTGTGAGCAGACAGTCTCTCTCTCTCTCTCTCTCTCTCTCTCTCTCTCTCTCTCTCTCTCTCTCTCTCAGTCGCTGATCGAGCGAGTGGAGCGCGCCGCACGACAACCCGCTCAATTAACATAATTCACGGCCCAAATCCAACAGAACCGGTCGGGCTGATTCGGTTCCGGTTCAGTCTCAGGTTACAACTCTAGGCTCAGCCCTGCAGTACCACATTAAGGCGGAACCACTTAGTAAATGTGGAGGACGCTCACTCTGATAGATTTGGATGCAGCGCTGGTACTGCCGTTAAAAACAAAACTACATATATAATTGATTATGCCGTACTCTCCTACGATGCAAAATCGTTTATGTCCGCATCCCGATGCATCGATTATTTGATTATTTTCCTCAGCTCTAGTATATATTGCGATGTATGACTTTCTTTTGTATATATGTCAACGACTGATTCTAAACATACTCACATACCAGATACATTGCAGCAGCAGAATAAACACACTTCAAACAGTATAAAATGCCATTTTAAGAAAATTTATTGTGCAAAAATCAAAAAGCTTTACGAGTAATATTTAAGATGTGGAACAGATCTTATTCCAAAAAAATGGAACACACCATTCTTTAATAAAAATAAAATTTTGAATATTGTAGTTAAAAATACAAGTAAAAGTTAGCAAAACACAAAAGTTTTTAAAATAAAGTGAAAACCTCGTAACGTGGATCGAGTGTCTTAATCATGTCCCGAAAGCCGCTTGTCTCCACTGTAAGAAACGGCACCATGTCCTTACACAGGTACGTGGTAATGGCATTTGTAATATCAATCCACCGTTGATTATTTCTCATACTGAGTGCCTTTAGCAAATGCTTGTAAAATATCTGTCTGCTGGTGTGTAAGACCACCTTTTTTCTTACCGCTCGACTGACTGGGCGCTTGTTGAGGACGCAGTTTTTGGCTTTCTTCGTATTCCACAACGTGCTTCGTTTTGAGGTGGTAAAACAAATTGGATGTATTCCCTCTATTCGCTAATACTTTCTTCCGGCATACTTTGCAGATTATATTGTTCTGCTCCACATCCGACTCCTTAAAGCCAAACCAAGTCCAAATGACCGATGTTGCACCGGTCTTCTTTACAAGAACCTCCTCCTCCTCCACCACAGGCTCCATGCTTTCAGCCTCAACAAACGCCGCTTGATGATGTGATCAACATGCGCTACCGCGATAGGCCGATATAGTCAAAATCTCTACCGTTGGCCAAATTAATATCATTTCTACCGTATACCGTTCATACCGCCCACCCCTACTTGAAACTGCTTGATAAGTGCTTGAATTGGGATTGGACAAATACGGAGGGACCTTGACTCTTTAAAATAATTCTGTCCAATCTCAAACTGTATAGAGAGGTGTGCAAATCCTTGGATTTTGTTTATGAAGGACTATCAGAGAAGCTCTAAGTTGTGTCCATTTCAGTGTTTGTTAATTTTAAATGATAATGATAAATGAGCCGAACTTGTATAGTGCCTCTCAGAGTAAGGACTCCAAAGTGCTTTAAACTACAGTGCATCATTCATCCATTCACACACACATTCACACACTGATGGTGATGAGCTACAATGTAGCCACAGCTGCCCTGGGGCGCACTAACAGAGGGGAGGCTGCCGAGCACAGGTGCCACCGGTTCCTCTGACCACCACCAGCAGGCAAGGTGGGTTAAGTGTCTTGCCCAAGGACACAACAGCAGAATTCTCTGTCCGGAGCCGGGATCGAACCTGCAACCTTCTGATTACTGGACAACCCGCTCAACCTGTTAGGTGCTGCCCCAAGTTAGCTATGACAGCCAGCATTAAGTCCAAAAGTTATTTCTAGGGATTATTTTCAGACATTAAAATTCATACAGAGATTCAGTGTTTGCTTTTGCAAACACTAACGAATAATGAGCGCACACACTCAAACACACGCATGCATGCACGCACGCACACACACACACACACACACACAGTGTCCTCATCCTGTCATAGGTCAGGACTGATGTTTATGAAAGCTGGTATGTAGTTTCAGCTGCTAAGTTGACTTGTTTTGATAAAACAGGTTGGCGGTTTATACGAAAACACCGTAACATCATTCTGACTCGTTATTTTCTTTCTTGCAGGTTGACAAAGCTACAGATTCTGGAGCTAAGGGAAAACCAGTTAAAGATGCTGCCAAAGTAGGTGGATTTTCTTACATTTTGAACGCAGAGAAAGTTAATTTAAAATTGGGTTTATTGTTGAAACAAGACACAAGACGACTCAGTAATGTTTATATAAAAATCCAACCTCTAGAGAATGAATCTCTAGAGTTATGGACTCGACACGGGAGGCGACATCGCCTCTCCTCCATTCATTTTCGGTGAGTCTTGTGCGACAAGGTGATAATCGCGATTCTCCCTCATGCTTAGCATCACGCAAAAAACGGGCATGTGAAATGTTGTGCTCGTGCAAGTTTCGTGCATAGGCGAGCCAGCGACGCAATCCCAGAAAGTTGAGAAAAGTTCAACTTTTCATTGCTGGCACTCAGACAAGGACCAATCAATAATAATAATAATTAAAGCTGCAAGCAGCGTCGTTCGGCCCTCGCAGCGAAGCTGCTCGCCCTCCTTCCGCACCCCCTCCGCTCCATCCCCGACGCTCTCCAAACCCAGCTCCGCGCTTGTCCATCCTGGCCGGCAGCCGGGGGCACCAGGGCACGTCTGGCAGAACAGAAAGTCAACCACCCCAACACCAGAAACCGTGAACGGCCTCCTCGTCCACACCTCACCCTGATTCAGCATCCCCTCTGAGCCCAGCATTACACGTCTCACCACTAGGAGATACTCTATCTTTACCACACTGGTGATGTGATGTTCAGTCTCTGGCAAATCGGAGGCTGTTTGTGGAAGTTACAGTCAAACGTAAGGTCACAGCGTCACGCCAGAAATCGCCATGGCATCAAAGCTCCTCCCTTTCTGAAAAGCTATCAGATCTGAATAGTCATTACAACATCATGAAGACAGTGCATGACCTTAGTGTCATGTTGACTAAATTAGAGGGGACAAATATGGGCATTTCACCATAAAACAGAAGACTTCCTGTAGTCAGGGGGCGGGGCTTAGGTGATGCCAGCTGTCCACATTGTCACTGTCTTCAGATGTGGTCAGTGATCACACGGACAAAGTTTGAAATTGATCTGATCATGCACAAGGGAGTTATTGAGTCAAGTAACGTAATGGCGACTGGTCAAAGTTTGAGGCTTAGCCACGCCCACACCTTTATACTTATTTAAAATCCGACGGTTGAATCTTTTCCTCTATGTCTTAAGAGTATATAGCAAGAGTTTGAAGGTGATCAGTGGAAAGGGCGACAAGACATCATTCTCCTAATAACGTGTGCGAAAACCACTAAATCGAGTACTTGGACCAAAATGGCCGACCTCCTGTGCGACATTGCGCTTGGCTCCAAGAGACTTTTTTGTAGGTCCTGAGACACTACATTAGTGTGCCAAAGTTCGTGATCCTCAGTCAAAGCACGGCTTGGGGCTGACAGTTTTAATGGTCCTAGGGGGCGCTATTTCAGAATATAGGCCACGCCCACAAACTTCAGCTGTCCAATTCTATTAGGGGTCAGAGTAGGATCACTCATCAGAAATTGTGTGGCGATGTCACAATGATTGAAGAAATGAGAGACAAACGTATTTCCATGGCGTGATGGCGAATTTCGCCATGCTCCCAAAGCCCCGCCTTTATTCGAAACCTGCCAGTACTATAGACCAAGTGACCTCAACTTGTCTGCTGCTATTTGCCAGTGATTGCTGGTGATTGGTTAAAAGGAGTCCAATAGGGAGCTGTGAAAAAAAGAGTGGCGTTGCGACAGGTCAAAGTTTGAGGCTTAGCCACGCCCACACCTTTATACTTATTTAAAATCCGTAGGTTGAATTTTTTCCCCTTTGTCTTAAGAGTCTATAGCAGAAGTTTGAAGGTGATTGGTGAAAAGGGCAATGGTGTAACACTCTCCAAACAACGTGTGCGAAAACCACTAAATCGACTACTTGGACCAAAATGGCCGACTTCCTGTGCGACTTTGCACTTGGCTCCAAGAGACTTTTTTGTAGGACCGGAGACACCACATTAGTGTACCAGATTTCGTACTCCTCAGTCAAAGCATGGCTAGGGGCTGACAGTTTTAATGGTCCTAGAGGGCGCCATTTCAGAAAATAGGCCACGCCCACAAACTACAGCTGTCCAAATCTATTGGGGGTCAGACTAGGATCACTCACCAGACATTTTGTGGTGATGGCACGATAATTGAAGAAATGAGAGGCAAACGTATTGCCATGGCGTGATGGTGAATTTTGCCATGCTCCAAAAGCCCCGCCTTTTTTCAAAACCTGCCAGTACTGGAGACTAAGTGACCTCAACTTGTCTGCTGCTATTTGCCAGTGATTTCTGGTGATTGGTTAAAAGGAGTCCAATAGGGAGCTGTGAAAAAAAAGAGTGGCGTGGCGACAGGTCAAAGTTTGAGGCTTAGCCACGCCCAAACCTTTATACTTATTTAAAATCCGACAGTTGAATTTTTTCCCCTTTGTCTTAAGAGTACATAGCAGAATTTTGAAGGCGATTGGTGAAAAGGGCGACGGAGCATCACTCTCCAAACAACGTGTGCAAAAACCACTAAATCGAGTACTTGGACCAAAATGGCCGACTTCCTGTGCGACTTTGCAATTAGCTCCAAGAGACTTTTTTGTAGGTCCTGAGACACCACATAAGTGTGTAAAATTTCGTAATCCTCAGTCAAAGCAGGGCTTGGGGCAGACAGTTTTAATGGTCCTAGGGGGCGCTATTTGAGAAAATAGGCCACGCCCACCGGATGTTCACATCAGATTCTTTTGGGGGCCGGACTAGGATCACTCCCAAGAAGTGTCGTGGCGATATCTCTAGAAATGACGAAATGGGAGGCAAACGTAAGGCCTAAGCGGTACGCCTGACTTCGCCGCACCGCCACAGCCCCGCCTTCTGCAGAAAACTCCCATAAAGTGACGCCAAGCAAACCCAACTTGTCTTCAGTTACCTGCTACAAATCTGGGATGATTATTTGAAAGGGCGAATTTAGGAAAATTTCCCAGTAAAACTTGACCTTTTAAGTCCTGAGGGGGCGGGGCTTATGTGACATCATCAATCGACCATTCATTTGTCTTTGGGGGGCGATGACAATTGTCCATAGAAAGTTACTTTAACTGTAGTCCTTTCATTTATGAAATTATAGCAATTTGAATTTTTTTGGCGAGTGCTCGAACTTTGAGGCCTGGCCCCGCCCCTTCAGTATTCACGAAAAGTCAATTTTATTTTCTCATTTTAATCGTCCATCGCTTCTGTTTGATCGTACACTATTTTTGAGACGATAGTGCAAAAAATGACCAAACTGTTCAACCAAATATAGACCCTAGAAATGGCCAAAACGGGGTCAAAATGGCCACTTTAGTCCAAAATGGCCGACTTCCTGTTTGATATTGACCATGGGTGCAAGAGGCTTTTCTGTGCGTATTGTTGAGTTCTACAAGTGTACCAAATTTCATCACTCTACTATGAAAAAAGGTCAAAGCGGAGGGGTATTTTTAATTTTCCAGGGGGCGCTGTCGAAACATTTTTTTACCAACTTTCACATTGCCAGCGAAATACGTAAATTTCACGCACTTTCTGTATTGGGCCAGAATTTGGTGACTTTTTGGATATGCTAAGACCCCCTAAAGGCCACCCAAAGACGCGGAAGAAAAAAAAAGAAAAATAATAAATAATTAAAGCTGCAAGCAGCGTCGTTCGGCCCTCGCAGCGAAGCTGCTCGCCCTCCTTCCGCACCCCCTCCGCTCCATCCCCGACGCTCTCCAAACCCAGCTCCGCGCTTGTCCATCCTGGACGGCAGCCGGGGGCACCAGGGCACGTCTGGCAGAACAGAAAGTCAACCACCCCGACACCAGAAACCGTGAACGGCCTCCTCGTCCACACCTCACCCTGATTCAGCATCCCCTCTGAGCCCAGCATTACACGTCTCACCACTAGGAGATACTCTATCTTTACCACACTGGTGATGTGATGTTCAGTCTCTGGCAAATCGGAGGCTGTTTGTGGAAGTTACAGTCAAACGTAAGGTCACAGCGTCACGCCAGAAATCGCCATGGCATCAAAGCTCCTCCCTTTCTGAAAAGCTATCAGATCTGAATAGTCATTAGAACATCATGAAGACAGTGCATGACCTTAGTGTCATGTTGACTAAATTAGAGGGGACAAATATGGGCATTTCACCATAAAACAGAAGACTTCCTGTAGTCAGGGGGCGGGGCTTAGGTGATGCCAGCTGTCCACATTGTCACTGTCTTCAGATGTGGTCAGTGATCACACGGACAAAGTTTGAAATTGATCTGATCATGCACAAGGGAGTTATTGAGTCAAGTAACGTAATGGCGACTGGTCAAAGTTTGAGGCTTAGCCACGCCCACACCTTTATACTTATTTAAAATCCGACGGTTGAATCTTTTCCTCTATGTCTTAAGAGTATATAGCAAGAGTTTGAAGGTGATCGGTGGAAAGGGCGACGAGACATCATTCTCCTAATAACGTGTGCGAAAACCACTAAATCGAGTACTTGGACCAAAATGGCCGACCTCCTGTGCGACATTGCGCTTGGCTCCAAGAGACTTTTTTGTAGGTCCTGAGACACTACATTAGTGTGCCAAATTTCGTGATCCTCAGTCAAAGCACGGCTTGGGGCTGACAGTTTTAATGGTCCTAGGGGGCGCTATTTCAGAAAATAGGCCACGCCCACAAACTTCAGCTGTCCAATTCTATTAGGGGTCAGAGTAGGATCACTCATCAGAAATTGTGTGGCGATGTCACAATGATTGAAGAAATGAGAGACAAACGTATTTCCATGGCGTGATGGCGAATTTCGCCATGCTCCCAAAGCCCCGCCTTTATTCGAAAGCTGCCAGTACTATAGACCAAGTGACCTCAACTTGTCTGCTGCTATTTGCCAGTGATTGCTGGTGATTGGTTAAAAGGAGTCCAATAGGGAGCTGTGAAAAAAAGAGTGGCGTGGCGACAGGTCAAAGTTTGAGGCTTAGCCACGCCCACACCTTTATACTTATTTAAAATCCGTAGGTTGAATTTTTTCCCCTTTGTCTTAAGAGTCTATAGCAGAA